ACGATTCTCAAGTTTTATAAAACGATTCTTCGAGTTTTATAAAACGTTTCTTCGAGTTTTATAAAACGATTCTTGAATTTTGTAAAACGATTTCTCGAGTTTTATAAAACGATTCTTCGAATTTTATAAAACGGTTCTCGAGTTTTATAAAACGATTCTCGAGTTTTATAAAACGATTTCTCGAGTTTTATAAAACGATTCTTCGAGTTTTTATAAAACGATTTTCGAGTTTTATAAAACGTTTCTTGAGTTTATAAAACGATCTCTGAGTTTTATAAAATTACTTTTGCGGAAAGTAATGATCCCAGAAGTTATCGTAGACGTTGATTTCGAGATTACGTTTTTTGACACCAACAAAAACGATTCTCGAGTTTTATAAAACGATTTCTCGAGTTTTATAAAACGATCTTTCGAGTTTTATAAAACGTATTTTTATTTTTACTTTTGCGGATACTTTTAGCCATTGATTCCGTCGTGACCGATTTTGACACCAACAAATTTTCTATTGGTTGAAAGTAACACACAAGGATTGAGATCTCTACTGTTCGAACCGAGTTCGGTCTTATCAGTAAGAGAGTGACTGGACTCGCCTGTGGGTTATTTCAAAGGTGTTTTACTATTTATGAGTGGGAGAGTAGTTTTATTAACAAAAGAGTTCGGTTTACAAATGAGGAAACAAGAGGCGAGGCGGCGTCGCTCGGAGAGCTCGGCCGTGTCATACAAGTCGGAAGGAAATACAAGAGTGAAAACCCTTTTTCTAGCCGTCTTGTTAGTAGGTCTGATTTCGGATCCCCTTCATGTTCCTCATCTCTTCCTTTTATAGTAGCGCTCCCTTGACCTAGCGAGCTGGTCGCGTGTACAGAGGACCTTTCGCCAGATGAGCCTCGCTCGGCCTGTTAAGAGTAAATACCTCAGTTAAGTGTCGTTAACTCGGTTAATCGCGGGGATTATCTGAGTTAAGCTAAACTTGTTCGCTAATCAACGAGGTGTTACCTCGTTGGACCGGAGTCCGAATGAACCGAGTCCATTATTCAGTGGGCTTTATGAAGGAGAATATTTCATCACCTAAATCTACCCTTAAAAAAGATTAATCCAAGGGTGGAGATTGCCTCTCTATTTGTCTTCTGAAATACGATGGAGAGAAGAGAGATGAGATATTGTGAGAGGAAGAAGAAGAAACAGCGGCAGGGGTCTGAGTTCATCACTGTCGTCATCGGTCTCGAACTCGGAGGGAGAAGTGGTACTTAGTAGCGTGGGTAATTTCTTCTGAAACGGCGGAGGAGAGAGGAGGCGTGAAGAGCTCGAGGTGGTGATGGAGTTATGCCAAGGTTCTTTGGATTGTAGATCTTCTTCAAGTCAGGTATGGATTCAGATTCTTCAACCCGTCCCTTTTAGATCTAGTTTGTTTAACAAACCCAGGTGGTTCTTTGGATTGTAGATCTTCTTCAAGTCAGGAGGACGAAGAAGAAAAAGGAGTAGAGGCGGATGACGAGGTGGAGAAAAATGACCGGAGTGGAAGAAGAAGAGGTGGAGACACACCCAAGGACAGCGTCGGGATTAGATGGAGAAAAGGATGTGTGACAAACATCTGGAGACAAACCGGAGGTGATGTATCATCCTTAGTACGCTTATTTCGATCCTGAAAAAGTTCGATTCTTTGTTAAAGTTCGTGTCCTTGTTTTGATTACTAAATTTTGTGTCTTTTTTTTTGATAATGAGTTGTTTGATTAACTTACTAAAGGTCTTGTCTTTGGTTTGATTAATAAGTTGTTTTGATGTGTTGTATCAGTTTTTTCAAGCAGTGTGGAAGAACGAGACCATGCTGAGATGTTGATGGAGTATCAGGTCCTTGGCTAATGGGTTTCATGTTGTTTCATTCATAATATCTATAGTTGAGCTTAGTTTCTAATACTGTTTTGTTTTGGTCTATGTGGTGTCTGTAGAACAAATGTGGTGGGAGGGGAGGGTTAAGCTGGAGTTTATGATGATGCCTCAGTCTGAGAAATTCTTAAACGTTCATATTGTACAACCATTACTCCTTGAATCCAATTCTTTTTTCATGACATTATTAAAGTCATGCTTAATGGTAGTTAGTATTTATTTACCCACAAACAATTTGTTTCTTCTCGTAATATTTGCAAAGACATTGAATACGGTTAATCTTCAAGAATTGTTTTCTTCTTTTTTTCAGACCACTTTTATCAGTTCTGATTCTGGGTTTTTTTTTTTTTTTAGTTAAGGGTGGAGGAGGCTGAACAAGCTTGATGGTGGTGTCTCGGCATCGACAATGGTGGTTGAGCGCGATGGAGAAGTCTGAAGAAGCTTGGTCATGGTGGTTTCGGTGTCAAATAAGGAGCTTGAGGACAGTGGAGATTGAAGAAGAACGTGGTTTGGTGGTTGTATTAGGTTTAGCTATAGTGTATTGGTTTAGTTAGGGTTAGTTAATAAACCAATTTGTATTGTAAACCAAATTTCAATTAGTAAAAAGTACCAATTTATAAACCAATTTATTTATAAATTAATTTACAATTTTTTAAAAATAATTATCAAAAAATAAATAATTTTAAAATAAATATTTTTTGTTATTAATAACAAAAATGATATGCTATTAAAAAATATGTAATTGCATATGAAAAAGTGTTATAATATATTACAATTCGGTAGCATAACAGAAAAACACTATCTTAAGTAGGTGATCTATTATCGCGGCCGATGATACATCGCACCTAATAACGCTATCGTATCGTTACATAGTGTTTTCCCGGCACAATGAATACTCAATTTCCTTGTAGTGATTATATAGTTTAACATAGTGAACTCTATCAAAGAAAATTTGGAAAATTCTGACAGTGACAAAGATCAGGATCTTCTTATGGAAATTTTTGAGTGAGGTTCTACCGGTGGCTGATCTGATTTTAAAAAGGGGGATGAAGGTTGATGGAAGATGTCAGCTATATGGCTTGGATGGAGAGACGATTTAGCATGTGATGTTCCAGTGTGCGGTCGCGAAACATGTGTCCGCTTTTTTTGGTATCCCACAACCAGAACTTGAGCTCTACGAAGGTCATATCTCTACCAACATAAATTGTTTCCTGAACTTAAAGTTTCATTCCAGAGGTGAAATAGAAGACAACAGAGATTGGCCTTGGATCGCTTGGTTCTTATGGAAGAGTAGGAATGATTTCTTGTTTAATGGTATAAGGTGGCCCTAATGGAGATTATGCTGAAGAAAAAAAAAATATGGGGAGTGGACTCTAGCTCAGTTAGTAGAGAGAAAATTGGCAAATGAAATGGAGGGGGAAGATGTTCAAACTAAGCATCGCTGGATGCCTCCTAATGAAGGTTGATTGATGTGTAATATATCTCTGGATTGGAACAAGGAGAAGAAACTTCTTGGAGTAGCTTGGGTGGTCGGAACCATAGAGGAGTTGTGTTGAGCCATAGTAGAAGGGCCCTTTCTGATGTGCTGACGCTGGATGAAGCAAGGCTAACGATTGTGCTATGGGCACTTGAGAGGATGACGAGTATGCATTATGACATAAAGATATTTTTGGGAGACTTTAAAGAGTTGTTCTGCTGTTCAGAAACCTCATGAGTGACCAGCTCTCAGGTATCAGGGAGATGAGATGGGTCGGATGCTTATAAATTATGGAGGAATATCAGCTCAAATATGTTTCGGTGGAGGAGAATAGAGGGACGTCGTCATTGTTCAAAGTGTATCGAGACAAGGTAGAAGCCAATCATATGTGGCTCATGGTCACCCTAATCGACTTTTTGAATTCTTTGTTAATGAAAGTCGGTCCCTCTAATTGTTCCTTCTTGTTTTGGTTGTATGATATGGTTGTTTTCTGTGTTCATTGTGATAAAATGCTGGATCAACTATAGTAGTTGTTGGATATTTTATGGATTGTAGCATAGAGGTTTTACATCATTCTAATGAAATTCGGATCGGACACAAAAAGCTAATTATATATACTTTATAAGCTGAAAGAAAAATCGACCCAAAATCTAAACCATACAGATTTCAAAAGATGTATTCAAACTGGTTTGAATCCGATACAAACACCTTAATAGGTTTGTTCTCCGGTATGTTAGATTTTACCCAAACCAAATCCTATAACTGACTTATATACCCAATAGAATTTAAAAAAAAAAATCAAAAAACCCAAAATACCAATACCAAACTCAAATTTTAATTCCCGCTAATTATCCTAAATAATAAAAGATCTCTGTTTAAATAAATATTTAAAATTTGATTATCAATCAATTTTCTTATGAAAATTAAACAATTTTGATTTATTTTGAAATGTTAAATAATATTTCTTACATTCATAGAGTTACTAGGGACATGGTCTACACGTATGTACGGGAATTAATATAATTTTTAGATTGATCATGATTACGTTTCTATGATTCCTCATAATAGTTTGTATTCTCTTATGTTAATATATCACCTATGTGTATGTAACTATTTAAGTAGTTCTGCATTTTATATGTAGTATTAAGACGGTAATATGTGAAAAAAAATATAATAGTAATATTATCGCATTATATTGACACTAAAAGTATTAAATTCATTGTTTGATCATACTTAAATAAAGAGAAATTCAAGCTAACATCGACAATAATTTGGTTTCAAGCTCCAGTCAAATGAGCGTTCCTTCGATTTATTTGAATCTGAGTTTAAAGTCAGTTAAATACATTATATGGTTTTACTATATAGTTTTTTTTTTGACAAAATGTTTTTACTATATATAGTTAAATAATAAGTATATAACATATCTTAACTGTGGATCATTAACTTTCAGACACATCATGATTTCACTCATATCATATCCACAATATCTGGTTGTGTTTTATCGAAATATGTAAGAGTAACTAAACTTAAGAATACCATGTGGGATTTGATTAATATTCCAAAAGCGTAAGGGAACTTTGGGGTCATTCCATTTCCAGGAGGAGGCCAGTGTCTGAACATACTAGCATTGGGTCAAGATCAGATGAATATATCAAGAGACAGTGTGCAAGAGAATTCTTACGTTGCTAACCAGATTGTAGTTGTTTCCAATGCTTACATGGATATCGAATATAACAACAGCGTTCTAAGGGCTCAGCTCATATCGCTAAGGGAGAAGCTGCACTCACTTAACTCTATCATTGAGATGTCGGAAGGAGCCATGGCAGATGTCTTTCTGATGAACCCTTGGCAGATGTGTTTCTCTTCACAGCCTACATTTTCCTCTGCTGATATTTTTGAAAACTGAGTGACTCTCATTAACAAAGTTGCATCCCTTTACGACCTATTTAATCAAAAAAAAAAAAAAAACTCATTTTCATGCAATTTGATACTTGAATTTCTGACTATGAGCAAGCAGCTACTGCTATTTCCTCAACCTACGGTACCAAAGAATCACATAGCAGAAACAAGACTAGTTGGCACTTAGTTTAATGGCACCACATTCTGTTGATTAGTTAGTCTTTAGAATCATGAATCACAATATAAACCAATACTCGCTTTATCAGAACTTAAATGAACAATAACAACAATAATAATAACAAACCCCAAAGAGCTCTGTAGCTTGGATGAGTCTCATAAACCATCTATATTCATAATCCAACGTGCACAACAAAAGCAAGTAAAATAGATATCGTGGTAACTATTTAAAAATCTAAAATAGAAATCCTTTTGAAAAAAATAACATACACTAATACATGCCACATTCATCCTCAAAAGGATTTGTGAATCTCTTCATCTATTTCAACAACCTTCAGATCCTTTAAGTCCTTCAGGCTGAAAGGTGGCTTAAGGTTCTTGCTCACTTCAAGCACTTTGAGACAAAGCATGTTAGAAATTGAAGTGTGTAATTCCTCAATGGCTGTACCGCTTAGATAGAGATACTGGAGATTCTCTACTCGTTTTGGGATCTCCGGAAAGCTCTTGAGCGTTTTGCAGCCAGAAAGATTGAGCACTTGAAGAGACTCCATGTTGTAGATCTTTACTAAAAAATTCTGAAGTAATTTGCAGTTCCCTAGGTCCAGCTTGACTAGTTTTGAGAGGGACTCAATAGATGCAGGTATTTCGCTTATGCTAGTCCCCTTGAGACACAATTCTTTGATGTTTAGTGGAACCTCTGGAAAGATTTTGATCCCTATGCAGCCACATAGATTGAGAACCTGAAGGTGATTCAAATGCTCTATGCATGGAAAGATCTCCAAGCTAATACAGCCTTGTAGCTCGACTAGCTGAAGATAGTGAGCGTCTTTAAGTTCTTGGATGTCAACTAGTTTCTCAGAATGATGAAGATTGATTGTCTTCAGAGAGTTGAGGTTCTGGATAACAAAAGTGACACTGTCAAGACTTGAGTTACAGAATATGTCACTTAAAGTAAACATGTACAAAATTTAATTTACCTTGGATTCTTCCCACAGTTCCTCAAGTTGACTGTAAGGCATATTCAGTTCCACAAGGTTGTCAGGATCAAACTCTTCCGGCAGGGACCGCAAAAAGTAATTCTCCCAATGGAGAAGCCGTAGCTCGTAAGGCAGAGATACTAGACCCATGGAAAGATCGAGTTCAGGGCGCCTTTCAGGATCCGAGCTGTAAATTTTCAGCAGTCTAAGGTTACACATATCCTCAAACGCACCAGGGTCAACAACAAAGCTCAAACCAGATGCTTCCAGTAATAGGCTTTCAATGTCTTCCCTTTCCTGAAATAAACATAAGTGAGAAAGCAAAGCCATGAAGAAATTGGGTATCATTAAATCTTTTTTTTTGATAAACTACATGGCATCATTATATCTTGACATGGAAAATATAAGTATAGTGACAAACCAAAGTGATTTTATTACTCACATTGTCTTCCCCATTTGGTTTGGTTTCTTCATTGTCTAGAAGAGATTGAGTGCTTTTAGCCCCGCAGAGTCTGCGACCCATCCCAACCATTACTTCTTGACGAAGGATTTCTATGGCCACGTCTTGTATTAGATTATGCATTTCCACTTTATTCCCGCAAATAGTCACAAGAGACTTCTCAACAAGATAGTCAATCCCAATACATGGGAAGAAACCACAACCATCAAGAACTTGCATCACACGGTCAACGTTATCTCCCTTAAAGAAACAAGCAATGTCCAGAAATATGTTCTTCTCGTCATCACCAAGTTCATCATAACTGTTCTTGAATACTTCAAGAATCTCAGAAGGAGGATTTAGCTTGAGTTTGCAAAATTCTACCTCCATTTCTTCTGGTTTCTTTCCCTTAAGTTCATTTCCATAGTAGCTGAGAGCTTTAGCGTTTCCATTAGCATAATTAACGATCATATCTGAGACTTTCATGTTGTCATCTTCAGGTTTAGGCTCTCCGAACGCGCACTGGGAAAATAGCTTCAGACCTTCCTTATCATCTAAACCCTTGACCTCATATATTTCAACCACTCTACATTGAAGAAGCACTTGTTTATCTCTTGAAGTTATGATTATCACACTTCCTGGATCAAACCACTCGAACCCTCCAAGAAAAGACTCTGCGTTTATAGGATTCCGCACATCATCAAGAACTAAGAACACACTTTCTTCTTCCAAAATTTGGCTGTTGTTAGTAATGGACATGTTGATGTCAAGCTTCTGCTTCACATGTGGTGGTAAGTGTTGCCCTCTTAAACGAGACATTCCTTCCTTCTTAAAATCTCTCTCGAAGTTTGGGATGAAGCGACGAGATTTAAAGTTCCCTTTCATCTGGTCAAAGGCTGCTTTTGCGATGGTGGTCTTGCCTATACCGGGCATCCCCCAAATTCCTACGCTGCGGACAACCCATGATTGCTTACTGAGCAAGTTTTCTATCTCCAACACTCTTGTATTGACCCCGATCTTGTCCGCGGGAAATAGCCTCTCATGTACGTATGAGACAATGTCTTCCATAAGTTTCAAGTCACTGCAACACGATTAGGTTAGAAAACCCCCTCCCCCAAGTCAACTTGTAGATTTTGTTTGATTTAGTGAAGATTAGGGTACACAATTTTCACTATACTTGCGGTTTAGTTCTCAAAGTATTCTTGTGATCATTGTTCTAAAAATAGATTTAGATGGCATCTTTTTGTTTTTTTTTTTTTTTGGGTCAAATGATGGCATCTAAATTATGTCTAGGCGGCAAAGCGAGATTATAAACGAAATATTTTTTCAAATAAATTCTACTAATGGTCAAATGAGTTGAAACGAATTAAGCGGCTCAGATTGGTTTAAACCAAACTATAAATTGGTCTAATCTGTCTTTTAATTATTTGTGTGTTTTTTTTTTCTTAACATTCTTGTTTTCAGATAAGTAAAAATGGAAGCATCAAAATGAATTATGATTATCTTACACTATATCACTAGGATAAGACCTGTGGAAAAAAATTATTAAAAAAAAAACTCATGTTTTCATATTATAAGATCTGACTATTGCTGAGTACATTTGTTTTTTCATGGTAAAAAACTCTATAGTATATACAGTAAAAACTCCATAAATTAATAATGTTAGACCTTTGAAATTTTATTAAATTATAGAAATATTAATTTACAAAAGTTTCCTTATTTAGATTTTTATTCTAATTTAAAAAATATATTTGATTTTACTGTATAAACATTAATTATTTAAAAAAACATTTATATCAATTTTATTATATTATTTTATTATATTATTTTTTTATATAGAATATATATATAGCATATAAGCTAATGTGGTTTTAGACATAATATTACCAAATCTCATCAAAAATATAATAAGTGTTAAGAAAATATAAAGAAAATTCCGTTGTGGATATAAAACAAACAATATAATTATATTTTCTTACTTATATAAAATATGTATACATATAATTACTAATTTATAATTTTAATGGGACCATATATTTACATAGAATTTGCTAAAAAAATTATTATCTTATTATTTTATTGATTTGTGATAAATTTTGAACTGACCCAAGTTTGGATCGATAAAATTTATTAATTTATTGAGTATTAATTTATAAAGGTTCTACTGTATATAGGCGAGTCACAGGTAGGTTTCATATTGTTTGGAAAATTAAAGTAATTAACACTAATTATCTAGAAACCGTATTTTAGCGTGATACATTGAATCAATATTTATGTAATTTTTCAATAACTACCACAAACATATTGTCTTAAATTTAACAACCAGATAGAACTTCTCAAAACTGTATATCAAGCTTAAAAATACTATAGAAGTATTAATTTGGTAAAAAGAAGTTTCTTATTTAAACAGCCTTGTATATAAACAGTTAAATTAACTTACCAAAAAGAGCTTGTTCTAAAATTGTATATCACGCTAATTTTCAAAATTTTAATATTTTTTTTTTTTGTCTTCTGACCATAATAATACCGTAGTTAATGATTTATGCTCCTTCGGTTTAATTGAAATTAAAAAGAAAATTTAATCGATCTCAATGGTATATTATCTGAAATTAGTAGTGTAATGACATAGCTTACAAAAACCGAGTATAGATTAGAAATGGATTCTAGATATATGTTTCTTCTAAGCATATAGTTGTCTGCAGCAACACAGAATAACAATTACTCAAATGATATAGAGATTCTTACATCAACAAAAGTCTTCAACATACTAACACTTAACATTTGACATTCAATTTTGGTTACCCCTCGTTTGTGAAATATTGCTTCGTTAGTTATGAGAAGTACAATTTGTTAACTCGAAGGTTTGTGGCATGTACTTGTATATTGACGATGAAACTTAACTTTCAAATGTCTTGCTTTGCTTTCTTCTTGACAATTTTGTTGTCTGGTATTGTTCTGTTCTTTTGTTTATTTTTTTAACACGAAAAGCTTTGTTTATTTGTGCTCTTTTCTATATGGTGCAGGTGGACAGAAAAATAAACAAACGCTAAAAACTTTATACCTAATAGTTAACAGACGCTCAAATGGCTATTGTAATGGTGAAGAACATTTGAAAAAAAATATCTGGAAGCAATAATGGGTTTTTCAATGTATGTTAATATATACGTAAAGACTACATAAATATATAATACATAATTATCTATATACCGCTGTATGTTAGGACTGGGATTTAATATTCGCTATCCGCTATTCGATCCGAGATCTGCTCCGATCCACTCCAAAAAAAATAGATATTCGGGAATCCAGATCCGAATAGTGAAAATTTTAATTTGAATATCTGGATCTGGATCCACTAAATATTTTTAAAATATAATTTTTATTTATATAGATATAGGATATATAATTTTTATTAAAATAACTAAAACTTAGTTTTATTAAATTTATTAATTTTAAAACTTTTTTGCAAAAAAAAAAATTTATAATCAAATAAATAAATACTTAATCTTTAATTTTTAATTTAATTTTGATTTTCTTTTAAACAGATTTGGATATCTGCAGATATTCAAGTTTTAGTTTAAAAGTCTGAACCCCAGATATTCGATAGGCTCGAATCCGGATCAGGATAGCAATTCTACGGATGTAATGAATCCAGATCCGAATATCCTAAATACCCGGATATTTAATCCGTTTTATCCCTAAACGTATGTACATAGGTTAGTTTCAGTATATTCATGATTAAATTGGACTAAAGTTTGTCCAAAGTCTTTCTAAATATGCCACATCAGCTTTAAGAAAAATATAGAAAATAACACATAAGCAAATTCATTTTATAATTAATACAAAATTGAAGTTATAATTTTTTAAATGATTCTCAAATAATAATGTACCAAAGAATTTCATGTCAAATTGTTTATCATCGAAAATGTTTTTATCCCTAACTTTATTTCTTAACACAAATTCACAAATTTATATTTCACTTAAAATTATATCAAATCAAAATTAATACGTATATAATACACAAATTATTTATTAACTCATAAAACTCCCAAAAATCTATCTATAAAAAGCATAATTACTATCTACGATTTCTTGAATGTTGCTTGCAAGCTATGAAACTTAAGTAGTTAAGTTTGATTTTGTAGTAGAATCATTACCTGGATTCGTCATTTGATTGGAGACCTTCCTTTAAGCTTGCTGCTTCCTTTAGAGCGTTTCTCCATTCGGTAACACGATCTTTAGGCTCAGATGCCTCGTACTCAGAAAATGCCTCTCCGTATTTCCCAATCTGTTGCTCCACTTCTGAGCGATCTACGCCGTAAAAGACAGGAACCACCGTCACTGTCTGTCCTGTTTTGCTATGCCGCCACTCAATAACCTCCGCAAGAGTAGTCAGGCTATGTTTGGACGACGCGAATTCCTCCGAGAGAACAACAACACAGATCTTGGATCTCTCTATCCCCAGTCTAGTCTTCTTGGGTAAGTACTGTCTGGTTTCAGGCACCTTGTTTTTGTCGTCTTCCTCCATGACGGTGATGTTTAGGCGCTTTAAAGCGGCCGAAAGGTGGCTAACGAAGGTGTAGCGAGTGCCGTCGTCGCAGCTAGAGCTGATAAACACATCGTAGTGGCTTGCCCCTCTGGAAGAAGGGGACAGTCTTGATTGCTCTGATACCGTTGTCTTGACGCTAGTTCTTGCCATTTCTTCTTCAGTGCCTTTTTCTTTTTCAATGCCTTTTTCTTTTGTATTGGTCAACTTCTTGTGCAACCTTAACTCAAATCACTTTTCAAGACGATCATCTTTCTTCTTCTTTTTCTTTTTGTCAACGACGGTGTGTTCAAAAGGAAGAACATCGATCTTTCTAATAGTTTCTTTTAATTTTCTTAATACAAATAATTGAATAGCATCAAAGCTGATTCAACCAATAAAATATATTATTTTAAACATCTATTAAAAGGAAAAAAAAAAAGAGTACTTAAAATATCAGGATGTGTATATAACTGTTAGATTTCAACTTTTAAAACTAAACCTCACCCCTCATGTATGATTAACAATTTTGCAATTATTTAAGTGTCAATATCACAATGCATCTCACATCTTTTATTAAATTGTCATTTTTCTTTCTTAGTCTAATTACATGTCAAACTATTTACCATACAAACCTACAAAATTATTATATTATATGTTTCATTATATGTATATTTCAAGACGTTATCGATAGTATAATTTCAAAAAATTTGATTAGCCTTTCTATCTTATTTTATTCATGTTAAATTAAATTTGAACGTGAATCAGTCTAGGTGATAAATTCAGGCGTAGACTCTCTATAAACCACATTAGTGACATAGTAGATATGTAATTTTTTATTCCAGTAAAAATGTTATTGACATATAAATAAGTGTATATCGAACTATATGTTATTTTTATGTTCACGTTATATATATATATAATATAACTAAGTGTATATCAAAATACTACATAGTGCATATGTATTATTTTATTCGGTAAAAAATATTTATGATCACGTTACATATAAATAAGTGTATATCAAAATTTTAGTGACATAAATAAATGATGATAGATTCGACATATACATAATGTGATTTGTTTGACCATGTATAACAGAGGCAAATATCACTTTTTAACATATCTTATGATGAAAAAGACATACATATATTTTTTCCTATGATACATATAAAATCATTGTAATGTCATTATGGTAATGACCAAGCTTACTATAAATGGTAATAAGCATAAATTATGTCAATAACTTATGCATTCAAAAGGATTATATTCCAAAAAAAATTATAATTACATTTGATTCCTGTTTTGATTAGTTTTTGCCAATTAAATTCAGAGACATGACCAACTAGGGAATTTAGACATAAATATTATCAATTAAAGGACATAAAGATAGTGCAAATTATTAGCCATTTAGTTAAATATATCAAATATAGTTAGTTACTAACCAAAATAAAAGTCAGTGTTAGTTGCAAAATAAAAAGAGATATGTTACAACAATAGGATTAACTTAAATATTAATTTATCTATTATTAATATATTATCACGTAGTTCCTGTAAATATATTTTTCAATGAAAATGATATATTCGCCATTGTAATATGTTTTTTTTTTTATAATGCAAGTTCAATTTCGTTTAATACATACTTTTCTGTTTCAATATAATCCATGTTTTATAAAAAAAAAATTTCTAAAAGATACACATTTCACATTTTCAGTGCATTATTCAATGTTAAATTGTAAACTTAAAAAAATTATTTAAATCCTATTGATTAAAAATCATGGGAATTGAATACGAAGTTACAAAAAGGATGTATTAGTAATTAAAAATTCAATGTTTTCTTAATATGTGTAAAAATTCTAAAACATATATCTTAATGAAACATAGGTAATACAATTTATAACCCCCTTGATATTTCGACCAATCATAATGTTTAGTATACAATGTGGAACAAAGTTGTGATTATAATGTTTAGTATCAAGCTCTTAAAAAATGTTTAGTATCAAGCTCTTAGAAAATTTGAATCGAAAATGTAAAATAATTCATTCGAATATGATTAAGCAACAAATATCATTGCTATTTTTTGTCAACTTTTTATTTGTTTTTATTAAGATAGTCAAGTGATTACATAGTTTTAACTCATAATTCTAGCGTTTTTGGTTAATACATCAACATTTGTAAGTGATGCTCTATTTAGGTATATAAAATTAAAGGAACATGATTTTGACATCTCATGGATATGTGTATCAGTGAGAACCAGGGCTAGCCTTGGACCATGTTAAGTGAAAAGTTTATCATAGGTTCTTGATTTTTTTTTTTAAATAAATTACATAGACATAGATCCTCAAAAATAATTTATAAGTTTCTAAATTTGTAAAAAAAAATTTTACATCGAAATTGTCATAGGCCTCTAAAATTTCAGGATCGGTCCTGGTAAGAACACCTCGGTATACATCTCTCGATGATGGTTTCTTCAGTGTAGAACTTGTGTAACCCATTAATCAGTCATTTGCAATCAGAGATGAAAGTAAAATGATCATAGCCAAAATTTCTCATCTGCTACACAGCCATTGAAAGAGCTATCGCTTCTGCTTCCAATGAAGAGTTTGCTGGGTTAATGGAAGAAGAACCTTCAAGTTTTTGAATGCCTTCTCGACCGTTTAAGGACCATTCAATTCTTCCCACTTTTTTGTGGAGGAGGGTAATACATCTTGAAGCGTTATTGCATTATTGGCAATTGCTCTGCTGTTTTGGGCATATTATTGCTACTATTGTGGATAAGTATCATCTGTGCACATGTTAGATCAGTACATACGATTTTTTTTATAATTGCAAAACTGTAGCTGGCAAGCAAGTCAAATTTCTAAACTATAGAAAAAGAATTCGGTAAGAAATTTAGATGAGTCTGTATCCACTTTCTTTTTTTTTTGTAAAATATAGAAAAATAATTCAGTTAGACTTTCTTGACAACTTTTTTATTATAATAAACTGTTGTAAAAGATATATTTGTGTTTTAAAAATTCGGATCAAAATTTAGTATTACATTAAAAAAAAGATTATACCTTTTCCAATATGAGTGGAGGTTCTGTTGTGGAAGAGGGGTCACCTGACCCCACTAGATTTTTAAATTATTTGTTTTTGCTTTAAAAAAATTATATTAATCCCATTAAAAATAAAATTTGATCCCATAAATGAACTTAAACCCACAAAAAAAAAACTAGAAAACATTTAAACTAAAGATAAAATTTAATTATATAACAATATGTTTATGTTATTTGTTTAACATTTTCATTTGAATTTAAAATTTAGCAAGAAAAAGGTTTTTAATTTAAATTCTAGTTACATATTTGTATTAAGATCAAACTGTATTAGGCCCACATAATATCATACTTCATAATATCTACAAAATTTGTGTTTCTATAAACATTTATATTTAACTAATTCTCTCTAAATTTTAAAGTGAGTTTTTTTTTTATAAAAAAATCCAGACTAATTTTCTTGTTATATTCTACTCTTGCTTATACTATTTTACAAAAAGGCATTTTAAGGTTTATGTTCATGATCTAAATATTTTCAACTGTCAGGTTTATTTTTAAAAACAAACTAATTTTTTAATTTATCAAGGAAAATTTCACAGATCAATTAAATTTTTCTTCAATAGATGATAGTTTCTAAAATAGAAAAAAATCGTCAAACGTTTTGAAACATTATTATGAAATCATATCGTTGATCAGTTCTAAATGATTGTCGTATTTGTTTATAAAAAAATATTTCAAAATATAGTAATGAAATTGTGATAAAAAAATAATTTCATGTTATGAGTGATTGTATTTTCGACAGATTATAAATTATGTTTAGAAAGAAAAATTCTGATCCCTGTACTAAAAAAATTCTGATTCCGCCACTGTTTTCTAACTTCCTAAAACTCATAACATATAGCCTTCTAATACTTAATTTTAACTGTGTAGAAAAAAATAAATAATAATAAAACGGCATCAAGTATTAAATTATTAATACCATTGGTTTTATTGTGGATAGGTTTCATTTTCACATGTTAAATGGATTCATGGGATACTTTATAATTATAATAATTGGCCAAGAAAGTCAGATTTGAAAAATATAGAAAAAGACTTTGGGTGAGAAATTTAGATGAGCTTGTATCCACTCTGGATCCCAAACATTATTAAATAAGAGAAATTATAGGTGCATGTGAGTTCACTGACATATTATTAGTCTAAACAACTACTAATACTTTGACCAAAAAAAAACAACTACTTATACTATCATTTACCTACTATCATTGGCACAGTGGTGCATAGAAAATATTAATGAATCAAATTTCTTCTAAAGGTAAAAGTTGATTTAGTAAGAAAAAACTGGCTTTGTACATTAAATGTACCTTATCATCTTCGCTATTTTTCTATTAGGGAAATTAACTTACACAGAAAAAAATTAGAACAATTTTTAATTTTCGTTTAAATATTTTAATCTATAACAAAAAAAATGAATGTCAACTATTTTAAATAATGTGTGTGGTAAATTACTGAACTGTTAGATTTTAAATTAGAGTGAATTTTTTCTTTTTTTTTTCTGACAACGAACGGTTGATTTATTACTCAAGCTTGAGGTGGTCTGAATTCAAATCGTAATAAAATAACCAACATACACCAATTCTCAATAGAAAGATCGAGCAGTCTTAGCTAAGGAATCAGAAAATCCGTTCTGTGTCCTAGGAACATAGAAAATCTTAAAATCTGAAAAGCAAATCCGCAACGCCGTTAGCTTTTCCAATTCCGTTGAGAAGCTTGGCCAATCCTATGGATTCCTGAGCATTGTTATCATCTCCTTGCAGTCCGTCCCAAAGCTCTGACATGGCGAATGTTGAAGCATGTTCTCCATTGCCCATCGCAGTGCTTACAGCTCAGAGTGCAAAGCAGACTCCACTCTATCAAAATTACGCTTTCTCATCAACTGACTATTCCCCATATTATCATTTCAGATCCATCCACATCTACTGAACTGAGCTGTAGAGGTCCAAGAACCATCCACCATACAGATATTTCCCAGACTTATGGCTTGGCTGTCAGCATCCACGTTTCCTTGAGAGGACAAAGAAATCTGTTCATTGGCTTGGAACCATGCATGACATTCACTCTCTACATATCGGGCTAACTCCAATGGATCTCTTTCAATCCCTTTGAACAATTTGTCATTCCGAGCCTTCCAGATATACCATATAAGCCAAAGATAAGGATCCATGTCTAAATCTGGTTCTGCTATGGCGTTTTTCCTCAAAAAGAGATAATCCATGTTCGCATATGTGCTCTGAAGTGGAAACAATGTAGAACTAGTAGGCGTCGACGATAAGGCCCAAACTTGCTTTGCAGGTGAACACAGGAAAATGGCATGTGTAATTGATTCATCGGGTTCTCCACAGCGTGGACAGTAATTGTCACACCTTATATGTCTATAGTTTAAGGTACTTGTAATAGCCACATGGCTTGTTATTAGTTGCCACATAAGATGACACATCTTTTGAGGAGCCCACACCTTCCAAGCTTGTGCTTGTAGTTTAGTGATAAATATTATGTGCAACCCAATATTCAGATTTGACTGTATATTGTTCATTCCTTGTATAGTTCCAGCAATATGTGTCCCTGCGATGTGTTGAACTAATTGACATACTCTTTAGAGTATGAGAGGTATATCAGCAGCATTTATGAGTTTGCCAGCCTTTTCGCATCCCAAGTCTTAGTTTCTTGATTAATAAGGTCGCTTACTCACATGTTTGGATGCAAAACCGGTGCAGCTGGGGACGCCGGTCTCGCTGGTAAAGTAGGAATCCAAAGATCCTCCCATACTTCACCTCATAGCCTGAATGAATCTTTTTTCTAGCTCCCAATAAGAGTAATTCTCGTGCCACCGATAGACTTGTCCACACGTATGATGGACTCACCGCGCTCAGCCGCAACTCTGAAAGCAGTGCATCCTTGCTAGTAAAACTCTGGTTTACATAGATTCTTTCTGCAGATGATCCTTTTCCCTCACAGCCATATGCCTCTCCGTAATCTTCAAAACAAATTTCATCATCTTCTTCCTCATCCTCGTCTTTAATCTTTCCAAATTGACTGTAATCCTCAGGATCA